TATATCTTGAAATCCTATTCCAATAAGGATAGGTAATTTGATAATGTTGAGATGAGATTTATATAGTATGTAAGGATGAGAATATGGATGTAAAAATGATGTTTATGAGTATCATATATGAGATATGGATGGATTTCATTATTTAGACTCATAGGTCTCTAGTCTATTGTATGAGATATATAAGAATGTCAATCAGGTGATTTTAAGGATGTGTCAATCCTTTTTCCTAATTTCTTTACTTGAGTAGATCACACTTTATAAACTATCTCCGTGAGAACGATCTTGGACTCACACATCCCTTTATTACTTGGGGTACGTGCACTTGCGTATTTGTGTGATTGATTTAATTGATTGCAAATTGCACAACAATCTGTATAAGAGGAGCCATCACGAGAAGAAAGCTTCGAGCTAAAGACCATTAGTGTTGGCATGGGTTTTAAATTGGTCATATTTGTTTTCTTTAGAAGGTCAGAGATATACTTTGACTGATTAAGGTGGTATCCTCCAGATTGAGTTTTGTGTGCTCTAATACTTAAAAAGTAGTGAAGTTGGCTGAGATCTTTGAAAGCAAACACTTTGTTCATAGACGCAATCAGAGACTTGGTAATGGAAGATGAAGATCCAGTAACAAGTATGTCATCAACATATACTAGTACGAATAGTGTGGATGTAGAAGTAATGGAGATGAATAAGGAGCTATCATATTTAGCAGAACTGAAGCCTAGCTGATGGATAGTAGTGCTAAGTTTGTCAAACCAAGCACAAGGTCCCAGTTTAACACACCAAAGACTTGTCTTGATTAACGAAGCCATGGGGTTGTTGTATGAAGACTTCCTCTTGAAGATCGCCATTTAAGAAGGCATTGTTAACATCTAATTGGTGGATGAGTCAGCCTCTGTAAGAATGATGCTAGGTTTTACTACAGGACTGAAATTTTCTTAGTAGTTAATTCTTTCTTGATGGTAGAAACCCTTGGCAACCAAACAAGCTTTCTATTTGAGAAGAGAGCCATCTGGATTGTATTTGGGGCAAAAAACTCATTTGCAGCAAATAGGTAATCTATTGGGAGGAAGACGAACAAGCTGCTAGGTGTTATTTGAAATCAAAGCTTGATATTCTTCTTGCATGGCTTTGTTCCAGTGAGGTTGAGACAGGGCTAGAGAAACAATGTTGGGTTCTAGTGATGCATGAAGAGCCTTTGGTTTAAAAATTCCATCTTTTTCTCGTGTGATGATGTGAGTCTAGCAGATGATGTTTTCTAACTTAAAAGAAGAAAGGAATTAATCATAAATGTGTGAAAATAGTCATTAAATGCAAGAAATATTGATTATTCCTTCTCAATCATGCTCTCACTCAAGTTATATGTTAAATAGCACGAAACGCCGCAAAAAGGAGCAAAAACGGAGAAACTAATAGAATACGGAAGCGAATGAAGTATAGGCATGAACCTCATATTTCAGAAGAAAGGAAAAAATGAATCGATCCATTTTCATTAAGAGCTACATCACAATATATATACTGGTCCAAGTCAAGCAAGAAAAACACTAACTAATTAACAAACTTAGAACCGATTCACTAACAGACTAATTACAGTACACGTGTATAAGGGAAGAGTCTAACTAACTAATCACATAACATCTGTAATACACGTGTTAGTTAACAAAGACTCTCTTCACCCCCCCTCAAGGTGGAAGGTGAATATCATGAAGCCCCAACTTGAATAAGAAGTCATGAAAGGAAGCTGGATGTAGTGCTTTGGTAAAAATGTCTGCTAGTTGTTGAGCTGTAGAAACAGGCAGAAGACGGATTAAACCATTAGAGACTTTCTCTCTTGTAATATGGCAATCCAATTCTATGTGCTTGCTACGTTCATGGAAGGAGGGATTATGAGCTAAATGAATTGCAGCCTGGTTGTCACAATAGACTATAACAGGTTGTGAGCATGGGACTTGCAGATCCTTAAGGAGATACACCAGCCATTGAATTTCACATGTAAGGGTAGCAAGCGCACGATATTCTGATTCTGCAGAAGACCGACTGACTGTACTCTGTTTCTTTGCTTTCCAAGACACCAAAGAAGATCCAAAGAAGACGCAAAAACCAGTAGTAGAGCGTCTGGTATCTGGGCATGTTGCCCAATCTGCATCAGCAAAGCTTCGTATTGTCAGTGTGTTATCTGAAGGGAAAAAGAGGCCCTTAGCTGGTGAACCTTTCAAGTACTTAAGAATACGACAAGCTGCCTCAAAGTGAACTTGCATTGGATTTGCCACAAATTGGCTCAATTGTTGGACTGCAAAAGCTATATCTGGGCGTGTATTAGTAAGGTAAAGAAGTCGTCCTACTAAACGACGGTATTGTGCTGGTTCAGAATAAACAGCACCCTCATTTTGACGAAGTCGAAGACCAGCCGCCATAGGAGTTGAAACTGCTTTTGCACCACTTAGGCCACTGTCACTAAGTAGCTCAAGAACATACTTTCTCTGGTTAAGTATTAAACCACGACTGGAACGTGCCACTTCAAGTCCAAGAAAGAACCTTAATGGACCAAGGTCCTTTATTTTGAACAGTTTGTCCAAGTGACTTTTAACCAACCTTATTTCATCCATATCATTTCCTGCCAAGACCATATCGTCAACATAAACAAGAAGAGCAGTGAAAGACTCTCCATTAGCTTTAGTGAAAAGTGAATGATCAGAGGAAGACTGAGTGTATCCAAGGGAACAAAGCTCAGTGGACAATTTATTATTCCATTGTCTACTGGCTTGTTTAAGCCCATACAGTGATTTCTTCAATTTGCATACTTTTTGAGCATCATCAACAAGAACTCCTTCTGGAACAGTCATATAGACATCCTCTGACAAGTCTCCATGCAAGAATGCATTGTTTATGTCCAATTGCTCAAGAAACCAATTACGTGCTGTGGCAATGGCAAGCAACAATCGGATTGTAGTAAGCTTTGCAACTGGTGAGAAAGTTTCAAAGTAGTCCACCCCCTCCATCTGGTTGTAACCTTTTGCTACTAATCGAGCTTTATAGCGAGCTATGGTGCCATCTGGGTTATGTTTAACTTTATAGACCCATTTTGACCCAATTGGATGCTTTCCTTTTGGTAAATCAGTGAACTCCCATGTGTTGTTGGTGTTCAAGGCTTCTAACTCTTCATTCATAGCAGTTACCCACTCTGGAAACTGTGCTGCATGTTTGTAAGTGGTTGGCTCCACAAAAGAACTAATGTTATGGCAGAATGATGTGTACTCAGGTGAACAATTTTTGTAAGATATCACAGAAGACAAAGGATGAGCAGTGGAAGAATCAGGGGCAACATTAGTGGTAGAAAGATTGCAATGGAAATCAGATAAATGCTTAGGTGGCAGTCTTACCCGTGATGAACGTCTGAGTGTCTGATTGGAATCAGGAATATCATGATTGGAGTCAGCACCAATGTCATGTACTATGGTGGGTTGTGCATGTATAGTAGAACCTTGTAGCTCAGGTGTATATTGTTGTATCTCAGGTGTATATGGCTGTGAAATATCATCATCAAAGGAAGAGCTAGCTTCATTCCCTAGAGGCCAGGGATTGGCATGCACGTTTGAGGGCTCAGCATCAAAAGGAAAATGCTGTTCATAAAAGACGACATTTCTGGAAATAAGAATTTGTTTAGAAAACAGATCATATAGAACATACCCCTTAGTACCATCCTTGTGACCAATGTACACACATTTGCGTGCCCGAGAATCAAACTTTGATCGTCCAGATGTAATAGTAGATGCAAATGCAAGGCAACCAAAAACCTTGAGATGGATAAGAATTGGTGGTGAATTGTAGAGCAACTGATATGGTGACTTGTTATGTAACTTTGGTGAACTGAGACGATTAACAAGGTGTATAGCATGAATGATGCAATATGACCATAAACTCTTTGGAAGTTTCCCTTGGAAAAGAAGTGCTCTGGCTATGTTAAGCAAGTGCTGATGTTTTCTTTCAACTATTCCATTCTGCTGTGGTGATTCCACACAGCTGGTTTGATGAATGATTCCTTTGTGTGTGAAGAATTCAGTCATTAAAAATTCTTGCCCATTGTCACTACGAAGGGCTTTGATTGTCTTATGAAATTGGTTTTCAATTAAAGAGATAAAACCACGAATATGATCCCTCACCTCAGACTTTGATTTCATGAGAATTTCCCATGTGAATCGGGTACAGTCATCAACAATTGTTAAGAGAAAATGATGTCCATGAATTGATGGTATGGAATATGGCCCCCAAATATCAACATGTATAAGATCAAAAGCATTACTCGATATATTGGTACTCAAAGTAAATGGAAGTTTCTTCTGTTTTGCCATGTGGCAAATATCACATGGATTATCTACATTCTTACATGTAATGAAAGGAAATTCCAACATCATTGTTTCTAATACAGGTTTGGAACAGTGCCCCAAACGTGAATGCCAAACATCAATGGTATGGGCCTTTATTGTATAACTATGACTATCAGTAAAATTCTGCCTTATTACAGTGTCTTTACTTGCATCTTCATGTCCTGGTTTGTCTTTCTGAGTAATCACATATAAGCCTTGCACCAAACTAGCAGAACCAATCGTCTCCATGGATTGTAGACGTTGAATGGAACAAGTTTGATGCTGAAATGTCACACTACAGTTAGATTCAAATATCAATTTGTTTACTGATATGAGATTTACTCCAAAGTCCTTAACATACAGGACATTAGTCAAAATAAGTGATCTCGAAATCACTACTGTACCAGAAACATATGACAGTACCCGATCTCCATTAGGAAGGGAAATAGCTATTGCCTCAATTTGTTTAGGAGACAACAAAATCTCAAAACAGAATGTAATATGATCAGTGGCTCCCGTGTCCAGGATCCACTGATTTTCTGACTTACTTGTTGTAGAGGATCCACTATCAGCATTAAGAGCTTTAGTCTGCACCATGTTGCTCACATGAGTGGAAGTTGGCTGGTTCTGTTGAAACTACAATGACTGTTGAATCATCTCCATTATTGTCTGATACTGGTTTTTGGTGAAGTTTTCCTTTGTCTCAACCTGTGCAATATCACCAATCTGATCAGTAGGTTCACCTATAGCTGCATTGGCCTTGTGTGCAACATTTCTTTGCCTATAACCAGGTGGATATCCATGCTTTTCAAAGCATGTTTCCACAGTATGACTAGTCTTCCCACAGTAAGTGCAAAGCCTTGATACTCTGCCACGTCCACCAGAAAAACCACGTCCACCAGAAAAACCACGTCCACCAGAGAGACCGCGTCCTCTGCCGCGAAATTGCAAATGTCCTCTATCAGGAGCTCGTTCAACAGAATTCATGAATACCTTTGAGGTATCTTGATTAGGAATAACAGCTTCCATCTGTAGCTGTCTCTCTTGTTGAACAAAAAGAGAAAAGACTCGATTAATTGAAGGTAGTGGATCCATAAGCATGATCTGTGACCTCACATGTGAATATTGTTCACTGAGGCCTTTAAGAAACCTAATGGAATAGTCCTTTTCTCTGATGTTCTTTACCTCCAATCCAATAGAACAACACGGATTTACACATTTGCATGTAGGTGTTGGTTGCAATGCTTCCAACTCGTCCCAAAGGATCTTAAGCTGAGTAAAATAATCTGAAATCGAACTATCTCCTTGATGCATTCGATATATGTCCTCTTGCAGATCTGATATTCTAAATATATCTGATTGCGAGAATCTCTCCTTCAAATCTCTCCACACATCATATGCTCTTTCCATCCACAGTATCGACTGAGAGATGGAGCTTGTGATTGAACGATGCAACCATGACAGAACCATGGTGTTGCATCTCTCCCAACCTGGAAAACGTGAATCTGATGGATCTGGAGCCAAGATCTTCCCATTCACAAACGACAATTTGTTCTTCGAGACTAAGGCCATAGTCATCGCCCTTGCCCAGCCGTGATAATTTTTTCCATTCAGAGGAGAGGAAACCAAAACGAGTGATGGATTTTCACTCGGATGTAAAAAATAAGGACTACCTGGATCTAATAGATCGAACAAGCTTGCACTGGTTCCATTGCATGTTCGTGTAGAATCGCCATTGGCAAGAGTAGCATCTGCTACAGGTTCCATTGCATATACGGAACTCTGATTCGCCGTTATTAAACAGGATCTCAAAAGGAAAAACAGACCAGAAGAAAATCAAAGAGAACGAAGGCGAATATCAGAGCTCCGTGAAGGGCTCTGAT